AGTCCATTTCAAGGCCATATTCAGTCTCGGCTGAAACTTTATGGAAGAAGCAGGAAGGAGATGTTTGTGGGGCGTTGAGTGGTGCTTCTGACCTGGGTGTACCAAGGGACCCCAGCACCCAGGAGCTGGGCTCTGTCTAACTGCGGGCACCAGAGAAAAACCGGTGATGGAAAAATTCACCTCTCCACGCCCCCTATTAAACTTGCCGGCCGAGTTCCTGGTGGATTGGGGTGCAACTGGGTGACTGCTGAGCATCTCCCTTCCCTTTCTTTTCCAGTTTGTGTTTCTTATCTGGGAAGATTTTACCAGGACCTCAAAGACAGAGATGTCACGTTCTCACCAGCCACAATTGAGAAAGAACTTACAAAGTTCTGCCGCGAAGCAAGAGGCAAAGAGAATCGGTTGGTGAGTAGCTGGTGACTGGCCCTTCAACCCTCTGCTTGACAGGCCTGGGTAAAAGGCCCTGCCCACTTGTCTGTTCCGGAGACCTGAGTTAGACCTGAGTTAGTTCTGCTCCCGAAGAATGCGGGCCTGAGGTGCTTTCTCTGCAGGCGTCCTTTTTTATCCTGTTTGTATTGACTAAGCACCTCCTCTCTGCTGGGTATTGGAAGAGAAAATTGACCGGCAGGCAAAGCAGCAATGCAGTGGGGCGGGGGTCAGGGAGAGAGCGGTATGGCCCAGAGCACAATACCGAGCAGTCAAGGCCGTCCCCAGGGTGGGGGTAGAGCACCCTGGGCAGAGGGAACAGCCCGTGTGAGTGCCCGGAGGCCAAAGGAGCTTGGCACGTGTGAGGACAGAAGAAGGTGACAAAGTGTACACAGGGTCAAATTGAGGGCGGGAACCCCAGCAAAGCAACGCCTTTTGTAGCTTTAATTTCCCCGGCAGCCTGGTCTGTCTCTCTGTTTAAAGGTTTGAGCACTAGTGACTATTAAACTCACCTGGCGGCTGCTGGCTCTGGGGCCAAGCACACACTGAGAGCTGGGCGCACGCGGAGGGCGCCCGGCTGCCGGGACTGGCGAGGCCTGCAAAAGTGAGGCCCTGGCAGAGAGAGACGATGTTCTGAGCCGTCACTACGAGTTGGAGGAGGCGGGTCTCAAGTGGCACCTCTTGAAGGCCATTGTCCTCTCTTGCTGCAGTGCTACTACATTGGAGCCACAGATGATGCAGCCACCAAGATCATCAATGAGGTTTCGAAGCCGCTGGCCCACCACATTCCTGTGGAGAAGATCTGTGAGAAGCTCAAGAAGAAAGACAGCCAGATCTGTGAGCTGAAGTACGGTGAGTGTGGCCAGGCCCTACTGTGCGCGCCGGGCTCCAGCACCGTGGGGCTTTCCTCCTGGCTGGCTGATGGGCAGAGCTGCCACGAGCTATATAGCTAAGTGCTGCGGGTGGTGCTAAATGGGGCGGCAGGGGCAGGGGTGTTATGGATGGCGTTGTGGCGGGTGGAGGTCAGAATGGGTCTCAGAAAGGCGACGTTTCAGCAAACAGTGAAGGAGGTGGGCACCAGTCAAGGGAGCGGGAGAACATCCCATAGAGAGGAACTAGGCAGTGCCAAGGCAGCCTGGGGCGCGACAGGCAGATGGCAGGTCACAGAGGGCCTGGCCCGTCGGTGAGGGAAGCTCTGGCTGTTAGTGCGGGCGAAGTCGGCATTAGTTCCGGGGCAGAGGATGGGTGTGGTCTGGCATCCCTTGGGTGTACAGGCTCGCCCTGGATGCGAACTCTGAAGGCCCAGCCTCTGTTACACTTTTTAAAAGAAGTGCTGCGTGCACATAGGAGGACCAGCAGCACCCCCGGAGTGGGTCTCTGGTGGGAGGGAAGAGCCGGGGCCCGGAACTTGGCTGTCCCATCGTGTAAAAGTTCAGCATCGCCAGCCTATGTTATTGTGACTTGAGTGTTCAAAGGCCTGCGTTCCCCAACTTGTGAAACTGGACTTTTGGGAGTGACCCTGGGAGGGGTGCGGTTGGCTTAGGGTGTCCCTGTGGTCACACGCAGTCGTGGAGAGGAAGCTCCTGACTAGGGCCAGGCTGGGAAGTTGGGGTTGGGGGGTCTCTCTGTGCTGTTACCCTGGGACAGATGTTCTGCCTCACCTTGCCCTCCACCATGACTACTGAAGAGGCACTTGGGGCAGTGGGAGCCACATTCTTCCAGTAAGGACAGTAAGGACCCTGTGACCTCCATCCCTGGCGACACTGCATTTCTGGTGGCGACTGCCACCACGAGACCAGCCTTCCTGCAGAAGGGGCAACATCCCCCTGTTGAGGGCAGCGGGCACTGACACACACGTGTGTGTCTGGAACTGTTGGCCCTGAGACCAGTGAGGTTGCTTGTTTAGGGGGTGGTTTGGCCGTGCAGGGAGCCCGGCCTGGCACTGTTGTGGGTCTGTGGCTGCCCCTGCCCAGCTGCTTACCCCCCTGCTCTCTCCTCCAGACAAGCAGATCGACCTGAGCACTGTGGACCTGAAGAAGCTCCGCGTGAAAGAGCTAAAGAAGATTCTGGACGACTGGGGGGAGACGTGCAAAGGCTGTGCAGAAAAGTCTGACTACATCCGAAAGATTAACGAACTGATGCCTAAATACGCCCCCAAGGCAGCCAGTTCCCGGACTGATTTGTAGTTGACCGATCCTCCTGCACCGAAGAGAAAAAAGTTCAGCTGTGTCTTCCCCAAGCACCGTTTTGTAATTTATTGTTTAGGCGGCCCCTGACAGTGTCAGGTGTGAAGCCTGGAGCTTTCCTGATGATGCTGGCTCTCCAGCGCCCCTGTGGGCAGGGTTCACTTCCTTCTGTTGATGGTTTTCTCCAGGACTTCAAAGTGTGTCTGGGAATTTTTTTATTAAAGGAAGAAAATTTCTAGCTGTCCTTGGAGAATTAAAGTGAATACTAAAATAGGGTCTTGCCCCCAGTGAAGACCCCACTGGCTTATCTTTTCCAGTTCACAAGTGTTTTCAGGCCTGTTCACCTGTGTGCCTCAGCCACCCGTGCTGGAGTCTCCGTGTTGGGATGTGGGCCCAGGCTGCAGGGTTGTGCGGAGCCAGGGGAGGAGCCCCAGGAGGAAGCTGGGCCTGACGCCCTGCCCACAGTGACTGTCCGACCTTTGCAGGCTGGAGCCCCCGCCCCTCCAGCTTCTTGCGAGGCTTGGGGGTTGAGTCCAAGGTACAGGGGAGGAGCTTATGTCCAGGCAGAGTGGTTTCCTGCCACGTTGACGACAGTAACTGCGTGTGTTCAGTCCTGTCACGTTTTTGAAGATGCTGGTCACCCCTCCACTGCCTAGATCTGGCCGTCTATTCGCTCATCCCAGTTTGTGGTCTGCTGTCAGTCCCAAGCCTCTTGAGGCCTGGTTGGGGTTTGCATGACCAGTGGAGGTTGATTTGTACAAAAAGCCAGCGAGAGGCTGTCCTTTGTCTTTGCCCAAGATAAGTCCAACGTTTGAGATCCCTGGGGCTTGTCCCCAGACCTGTGGGGTTTGCACTTGGGAAACTCAGGTGTCCACTGGGGCTGTGGTTTGACAGAAACCTGCTCCTTGGGCCTGCAGAGGACAGACTTGGAGGCAGTTCTTCCCAAGGACTTGCCTAGCCCTCGGGTCTCCAGGTGCAGCTCCTAAGTTCAGCTTGCCTACCTAAGGGGCCTCCCTACTGCCTGATGTCAGATCCGCAGGTGCTTGGCAGCACCTAGTCTACAAGGAGGGCAAGGAGGTTGAGCCACTTCTCTGGCCAAGGCTTGCCAGGGGAAATGAGGGTGGTTAGGTCTGACACACGCACAGTGTCCTGAGCCCATGAAAGGTGCTGGGAAAATCCACTGCTGGAACCAGGAGTCTTAGAAGGTGGAGCGACCGACTGTCAGCTCGCCAGCGTAGGGTCTGCTTGCAGGGCTTCCCTGGCCATCAGGCCGCACAGAACGAGGCAAACGGCCCAGCCACCCGAGGGCTGACCTCCATGGCTATCTCTGAAAGGGTTAACTCCTTTCTGGAGGCAGACCTCGTGCAGTGCTACAGGTGTTTCTTGTAAGCCTAACCCCCTTTCAGCTGCTCCAAGAACTGCTTTATGGTTGTGAGAGGAGGAGAGAACTGGGCTCTGCTCTTGCCCACCCCACGGTTTCTGTGGTTGGAGTCGGGCAGGTTCCGCGGGGCCTCCAACACCTCTGTCTGGCTTGCCTCACTTCACCTCAGAGAGGAGGTTCTGCCCCAGGAGGCGGAACGGCGGGTCCTGGCCCGCGAGAGGTAAGCGTGACAACTCATGGTTACTTAGTGGACTTGGCCGCCTCTGCGCCCTTGGAGTTGCTCTCTAGCGCCAAGGAGCCTGTTCCACCCAACACAGTGCAGGTTTGTCGTCTCGGGCCTCGGCCTGCACCCAGGCCCGTCTGGCTGTCCACGTGAATAGCCGTGGTCCACACCACCTTTGGGTGGGTGGGTGGGTGGGGTGGAGGGGAGGCGCTGCAGGTGAACCTGAACCTGGGGGATGCCCCAGCTATGAGGCGTGGGCCCTGGACCGGCCTAGGGAGCGACGGGCTCCACACCTCGACGTTGTTGGTCCTGGACCACAGTCGGGAGACGCCGTGGTGGATATTACGGGCGGGCAATCCCTAAAAGGGCCGCTGGGTCAGTGCGCGAAGAAGCTAGCGCTCGGAGCGGTGCGAGACGACCCGACTCTCGCGAGGACTGAGTGCAACGTAGCCCTGTAGCCCCGAGCCTCGGCCACGTTGGCCACATGGTGGCACCAAAGTTCTCCCGCCTGCAGCGAGGTCACGTGGTGCTGGGTGGCGCAGTCCAATGACGTATCGCCTGCGCAGCCCTCGTCCCGCCCACCGTGGGCATCACGTGGTACGGGCAGCGCAGGCTAATAACGCGACGCCCAGCCCCTGGGCGCCGCTACCGTCCCACCCCGCCGCGCGCCGAGTCCTTTTGTCCAAGATGGCGGCGCCGGGGGCGCTGCCTCCTCGGCCGCCGCCGCCGCCGCTGCTGCTGTGAGGGACCTGCGGGCCGCCCGCCCGCCCGCCGCGCCGGCGCCATGAAGAGGCAGAGCGAGCGAGACTCGAGCCCGAGCGGGCGCGGCTCGTCATCGTCAGCCAAGCGGCCGCGGGAGCGCGAACGGGAGGCGGAGGCGGGCGGGCGGCGGGCGGCGCACAAGGCCTCGGGCGGCGCCAAGCACCCCGTTCCAACGCGGACCCGCGACAAACCCCGTGGTAGCGGGGGCGGCGGGGGCGGGCATCGTGACGGCCGCGGTGCTGGGGACGCCAATCATCGTGCGAGCAGCGGCCGCTCCTCGGGCTCAGGCGCCGGCGGTGGGGGACGAGGTGGCAAGGCCTCTGGGGACCCGGGCGCTTCAGGCGCCTCGCCTCGTTCGTCTCCACTGCCGCCACCTCCGCCGCCACCAGGGGCCGAGCCTGCGGGTCCCGGCTCGTCGGCGGCCGCGCCCGAGTACAAGACGCTGCTCATCAGCAGTCTGAGCCCCGCGCTGCCCGCCGAGCACCTCGAGGACCGTCTTTTCCACCAGTTCAAGCGCTTCGGCGAGATAAGCCTGCGCCTGTCGCACACGCCTGAGTTGGGCCGCGTGGCCTATGTGAACTTCCGGCACCCGCAGGACGCACGCGAGGCTCGCCAGCACGCCCTGGCCCGCCAGCTGCTGCTCTATGACCGCCCGCTCAAGGTGGAGCCGGTGTATCTGCGCGGCGGTGGCGGCGGGAGCAGCCGGAGAAGCAGCAGCAGCAGCGCCGCCGCCTCCACGCCGCCCCCAGGGCCGCCCGCGCCCGCCGACCCACTCAGCTACCTGCCGCTGCACGGTGGCTACCAGTACAAGCAGCGCTCGCTGTCCCCCGTGGCCGCCCCGCCCCTGCGGGAGCCGCGCGCCCGCCATGCCGCCGCGGCCTTCGCGCTGGATGCGGCCGCCGCCGCCGTGGGACTGTCCCGGGAGCGAGCCCTGGACTACTACGGGCTGTACGACGACCGGGGGCGCCCGTACGGCTACCCGGCTGTGTGCGAGGAGGACCTGATGCCTGAGGACGACCAGCGGGCCACGCGCAACCTCTTCATCGGGAACCTGGACCACAGCGTGTCAGAGGTGGAGCTGCGACGGGCCTTCGAGAAGTACGGCATCATTGAGGAGGTGGTTATCAAGAGGCCTGCCCGTGGCCAGGGAGGTGCGTATGCCTTCCTCAAGTTCCAGAACCTAGACATGGCCCACAGGGCTAAGGTGGCCATGTCGGGCCGGGTGATTGGCCGTAACCCTATTAAGATTGGCTATGGCAAGGCTAATCCTACCACGCGCCTCTGGGTGGGTGGCCTGGGGCCTAACACCTCACTGGCTGCTCTGGCCCGGGAGTTTGACCGCTTTGGGAGCATTCGGACTATCGATCATGTCAAAGGGGACAGCTTTGCCTATATCCAGTATGAGAGTCTGGACGCAGCCCAGGCTGCCTGTGCTAAAATGAGAGGCTTTCCCTTGGGTGGTCCAGACCGCAGGCTGCGTGTGGATTTTGCCAAAGCCGAGGAGACTCGGTATCCCCAGCAGTACCAGCCCTCCCCGCTCCCTGTGCATTATGAGCTTCTCCCAGATGGATATACCCGGCACCGAAACTTGGATGCAGACCTGCGGGTGCGTGATAGGACGCCCCCACACCTCCTGTACTCAGACCGAGACCGGACTTTTTTGGAAGGGGACTGGACCAGCCCCGGCAAAGGCTCTGACCGCCGAAACAGCCTAGAGGGCTATAGCCGCTCAGTGCGCAGCCGGAGTGGGGAACGCTGGGGAGGAGATGGAGACCGGGGCCTGCCCAAGCCCTGGGAGGAGAGACGGAAGCGGAGGAGCCTTTCCAGCGACCGTGGGAGGACAACACACTCCCCTTACGAGGAGCGGAGCAGGACCAAGGGCGGTGGGCAGCAGGCCGACCGCAGCTCCGACCGCACCCCTGAGCGCAGCCGGAAGGAAAACCACTCCAGCGAAGGGACCAAGGAGTCGAGCAGCAACTCTCTCAGCAACAGCAGGCACGGAGCTGAGGAACGGGGCCACCACCACCACGAGGCTCCAGACTCTTCCCATGGGAAGAAGACACGTGAGAGCGAGCGCAATCATCGGACCTCTGAGGCTGAGCCGAAGCCTCTCGAAGAGCCAAAACACGAGACCAAAAAGCTCAAAAATCTTTCCGAGTATGCCCAGACACTGCAGCTGGGTTGGAACGGGCTTCTAGTGTTGAAGAACAGCTGCTTCCCAACATCTATGCACATCCTCGAGGGGGACCAGGGGGTGATCAGCGGTCTCCTCAAAGACCACACTTCGGGGAGTAAGCTGACTCAGCTGAAGATCGCCCAGCGCCTGCGGCTGGACCAGCCCAAGCTCGACGAGGTCACGCGGCGCATCAAGCAGGGGAGCCCCAACGGCTATGCTGTGCTGCTAGCCACCCAGGCCACCCCCAGCGGGCCGGGCCCTGAGGGGCTGCCCGTGGTGGAGCCAGGCCTCCAGAGGCGGCTTCTCAGGAACCTGGTCTCCTACTTGAAACAGAAGCAGGCAGCGGGGGTGATCAGCCTGCCGGTGGGAGGGTCCAAGGGCAGAGACAGCACGGGCATGCTCTACGCCTTCCCGCCTTGCGACTTTTCACAGCAGTACCTCCAGTCCGCACTGAGGACATTGGGCAAGCTGGAGGAAGAGCACATGGTGATAGTTATAGTAAGAGACACTGCCTAGCCCAAGCCTGTCTTTCCCAGCTCCACATTTGTGTCACAAAAACAGTTATTTTGAAATCTGATCCCCCGCCTCTATCCTACCCCCTTGGTTTGAATTTTCTGCTGGATTGTTTTGGTTCATTAGGTTGGGGGCCCAAGTCCTGTCCCCCACCGAAACTAAGTTCTTAGCTTTGGGGGATTTTTTTTACAGCGGTGAGATGGGACTCCTGTCATGTTGATTTCTAGTGTACGAGATACTGTCTGCTGTGTTCTGTATTTTTTTATTTTTTGACTAACTGTATGGAAAGTTGTCAGTAAAGCCTTTGTCAGAGGATGGATTTTTAATCCTTTTCGGAGTCCTGGTTTAATCATGTTTTTTCTCAGATGGAAGACCTTCCCCTCTGCATGCACAAAATGCCCCACGTCGTCTCTCTAGCCCTGGTGTGCTGCGCCATCGGGGGCTCTGCGCCCCTCCGCTGTGCGGGCTGAGTCAGGACTGTGTTTGTGCTGGTTCGTAGTCTTGGCTGAGAGCCGGTGGGCTTCGGTTTGCACGCTGGCCCCTGTCCTGCCAGTCCAAACAGAGCTCATGCAAAGGAAGGGGGCACACCCGAGGCCTATGGCCAGCAGCTGTGGCAGTTTTTGGTTGTGGTTCTGCCCTAAACAACGTGTGCCTCTCAGTTGGAGCGGTAGCCGTTTGACGATACCCTGTCTGAAGGCCTTTATGGAAGTAGGTGGTCTTGGCAGGTGTGTTCTCTCGTAGGGAGGAGTGCGCAATACCGAGGCCCCGGGGTCTTGGTGCCACAGATCCACACGGACTCTCGTTCAGCCCCCCTCCTCGCCTTAATGCGGTCAACCAGGGACACCCAGTTGGAGACAGAGCTGCCTCTGGCTCCCAGGGACACTTAAGGCCAAATGCTGGAATGGAGGGTGGGCGGCAGCTTTCCTTGCTTACTCTTGAACTTGTGAATTCTGGCTCTTCTTTTGGTGGTTCAGAACTGTTGTGACAGTGTGGAGGTCTGTGCGGAGTCCCTGGAGCTTTGTGGGGGACGCTGAGTCCCTGGTCTGAACATTTTTGAGATAACAGGAAATTGCAGCAGGCGAACAAGGTGCTGGGACGTAACGCCCTCAGGTGCCAGGTGAGAGGGCCGAGACCTCTTGTCCGCACGCCGAGGAGGTGGACACCCCGGATCAGCACGCCCCTGTGGGGAGACGGCATCTGGCTCGGAGGTGCTAGGCAGTTCCAGAGCTCACAGCCATTCGGGCCTCGCTGGAGGGACACAGGACATCCCCGAGCGGAGGTGGGCGGGGGGTGGGGGGAGCAGCTTGAAGGAGCGTTAAATTGTCTTCACGTGTCCCTGATGAGGTAGCATGGCCAGCACTGGCGAATGAAGCTGGTGTCACACAGCAGTTGTCAACATAGGACAAGTACTGCTAATTGTGTCAGTGTGCTGGTTTGGGTGTTCCAGAAGGGTCCTGGTCAGGGCTGCGGGAGAACAGCAGCTCTCCCAAAAGGAATGAGCCCCCCCACCCCCCGGCCGCCATGACCTCCCAGCTCCACTGGCCTCACCAGGCTCTCCAGGTCTGGTGCGCCACCCAAGCCAGCTCACAGTGCAGTGCAGGTGACAGCTAGGTGGCTTTGAGAGAGACAGCTGGGAGATGGAGCTTGAGGCCACCTCTCCCCGAGGACAGTGAGAGAGGTGTCTTTCTGAGACCTTGGAGATTTTAAATAGGGAAGGTGCCTGGGGAAGCGCTGCTCTCTGGGTTTCGGCTGGTGCTCACAAGAGAATAAGCAAGTTCATAACAAAACTAACACAAGGAAAGATGGGTCCACGTGTCCGCCTGCCTGTGCCTGAGCCATGGCCACCACTGCCGGGCAGCTGAGCACGTTGTTGGGGGTCCAGCCAGACACGGCCGGACCACTCCAGGGCGAGGGGACCTCCTGGGTCGCGGCGGATGGCGGAGGGCCGGCTTCAGGGCGCGCCGCAGGGTTTCCCACACATCCACGGCCAGCGCCGGGGCACAGGGCAGAGCCGCCTCGCAGGGTGCCTTCTGGTGGGTGCTCAGGACCCCGCACACCGTCCGCCGGCCTTCTCAGGACAAGCCCAGAAAGTCCGGTGAAGACACTTCAGCCCGTACTCTGCCCGCCCTTCTTCAGCGATAAGGGGTTCTCAGGCCCTCAGAGGAACCAGTTCTCGGGGAGAGCCACAGCCTGTGTGGCCCTCCTCCTCAGACCCTCCTCTCCGCCACTCTCTTCCTGTGACGTGTGACTGAACAGGCGCTGTGACCTTTCAGAAAGGCCTTGTCCAGCACCAACTGAGAATACCCTCAGGCGGTCAGGGCCTGCACCCAGTGCCGCCCCTGGGATCCGCGTCCTGTCTAGGGTGTCGCCTAAATGCAAAACCAGCATGAGGCAAAATTTGCCCGTGACGGTTTGCTGCTATTCTGCGTGTCTCTCGCAGGGAACTCAGACCCCGAGCCCTGGGAGGACAGCCGCGGCTGATGCCTTAGCCTCTCAGGGCGTCCCTAAGGGCGTGTTGTCAGGTCGACCAGGGTTCTGTGTTGCTGTTGGAGGCCCCCGTCTGCCTGAGAGACCTGCGGGTGCTCCCAAGAGCTCCGGGCGGAGTTCAGGGGAAAGCGGCTTGGTTAACGACGAGAATGTCGTGCTTTTGCTATTTCTTTTAATCGTTTTCTTCTAATCTCTTCAGCACCAGCAAACTAGTCTACTGGTTAGGTGTTAGCAGCCTATTTAAGCTGAGGCGTGAAGCCACTTAGGAACTGAGACCTCTGCTCTGTAGAGGACCAAGAGGTACCTGTGCGACACAGGCCTGCTCCCGTGTGTGTGACAGAGGGTGTGATGCTCCGAAGCCCAGCAGGGCCTTACCAGCCCCTGGTGAGTTTTAGCCATCTTGTCTTGCCTGTTTACTTCACACCCACTTTCCCTCTTCTCCGAGCTATGCACCTGCCTTGACAGAAACCCAGCAGCTGTTACTCGGACAAACTCAAAGAAAGAAAGGGACTCGGGGGCCCCCCGTTCATGGTGGGCAGGAAAGGGGGCGGCGTGGGGCGAGCAGAGAGTTGCGCGGTTCCCTGGAGGGCGACTGTGGGGGCCTGGGAGGTGCCTGCGCACCCGGCCTGGCCAAACCCTGGCCGCTGGGACCCCGCCCTTCAGGGAAGGGCCGCAGTGCTGCTTCCACGCCCTAGATTTGCCAGCTCGTCCCTCGAAAATGCCCCAGGACCCCTCACTCGACAGCAGCCCCACCCCCGTGCCCCAGAGCTGCCTGCCCAGTTCAGAGCCCGGGGATGGGGGTGCGCCCACAGCGGGCGCTCACACAGCGACCAACAGCCCCTGGGGCAGAGCTGCGGGCGGGGGCCCACACGGGGACTCTGCTTTTCTCCCCAGAGGGCTCTTTTGGGTGGTGGGTCCCCCCCCCCCCCCCGCAACCCCGTCCCAGTCCTGGGCCACCTCTCGAGGCATCTCCACTGCCTGGCTAGAGCTGCGAGGAAAGGGAGGACAGGGAAAGGCCATAAACAAAGACAGACTTGTAGTTTATTTTGTATTTTTTAAAATAAATACACTTTACATTAAAGAAAAAGGCCTTTGATTTGTAATTTCCACACTGGGGAGAAAGAAGAAAAACGTTTCTTGAAAAACTGAAGGACAAAGAAAAATAGAGGGAGTGAACTCATATCCTAAGTTCCCTCAACTCCACACACCAGCACCCCACGCGCTCGCTGCCCCCGCCGGGAAGCCGGGCGCCAGCGCGGACGCAGCGGGACCTGCCTGCCTCCCGCCTCGCGCAGAGGAAAACAAATTAACCTGACAGCATGTGAGGCAACAAAACAGGTTTAAAAAATCATATATTATATTTATAATAAAATATTCTTAATCCTTATCAATTTAAGAAACCACGATTTCCTTTTCATTTAAATACGTATGTAAAAATGCCTCTATATTGTTCTTTAGACGTCATTTTCTTCCATAGAAAATGAAGTGGGGACAAGGACCTGGTGGATATAAGTTCATACCCTCAGTTATAAATGCCTGGATTTTTTTTTTCTTTTTTAAAATTTTCTAAAAAACTATTTCTTGTTCTTTAAGTAAAGGACATTATACAAAGAAAATATATTGTGAAATAACCCCAGAGACGTTTTTTCCCCCTTGAGGAAAGCTGTGTCCATCCTGGGAAGGGGGGCAGACTGGGGCCGACCCCTGCTGTCCTTTGCGGTGGTGACTTGTGAAGCATCCTTGGGTCCCAGGGAGATTCGGCGGCAGTCCTCTGAGCACAGGCCACACAGTTCCTTAAGGAGACACAGCCCTGGGAGGAAGGGGAGGGAGGTGTTTGGAATTCGTTTGACTCAGTTTCTCGCCTGCCAAGAACCTTCCACATGGTGATGGCTCCTCACTCATTCAGAGATAAGATGATGTCGTCTTCCAGATCGGAGTTGTCTGAGCTGTCGGCTGAAAGGTAAGCAGAGGGAGAGGCCAGGTTAGGCCCTGGGCTCACGGGAGGTGTTCAGGAAGGAAGCACCTGCGTGCATGCTTAGGTCTCAGCCAGGCTAATTACCTTTTCCAAAAGAGGAAAACACATCAATTAACTCCTTGGAGCTGGCTCTGGAGAATATGCTTCTTGGCAACAGCGGTCACCCCTGGGACCTCTTGCTCTCACCTTTGAAAGGACCTGGATGCAGTGTCCTCTTATTCCTAGAGGTCCACCCTGCCTTGGAGGCCCCTAAAGAGACCAGGCAGGACCCCCCCCCCGGCCCCCCAAGCTTTTATTCATGGTGCCTTCAATGGCTGTGAAGGGCAGGGCTGCGGGGAGCCAGGTGTGTGCCCCCGGGCCTCTGGAGTCTCGGGAATGAGCACAGGCCTGAGCCAAAGTGAGGGGTTTCTAACTCTGCAGCCACTCTCCTCAAAGGAGCTCACAGAGGCAGGCAGAGGTGGCCAACCTGGGACTCAACCCTCTGAAATGCTGGAGTGTGGTCTGCAGGGTGCAGCTGCCCTGATGGGCGGGGGCCACTGCGGCAGCAGCAGGCGCAGCCCAGCAGGGAGGATGGGAGGCCCAGCACCGTGTCTCCGGCTGACCGAGACCGGAGGGAAAGCTAGCCCTTGGTGCCTGGGGGCTCTAATTAATGTGCTGAGTGAAGGCGGCAGGGAGGGGAAGGTGTCCACTTTGATGACCCAGCTCGGGAAGCTGACATCACTTTGACCAGGGCCCCAGGGAGGAGCGCAGACCCTGACCTGTGGCCCTGCAGGCGCCCGCAGCTGTGGGGCCCCCCCAGGAAGGAGTGGACAGCGACTGGTCCCACGCAAGCCCCGTCAGCCTTCCCAGATACTTAACAGTCTCTACAAAGGAAATCTGAAGAAAACCAAAGCGTGTTCCCAAACCTCCCTTCATTCACTACCATCTCCTTTAGGACGAAAACGGAAGCGGATAAGGTAAAGCCAAGAAGAGCGTGGCCATGATTCACGGAAGTCCTGAAAATAAGCCAGAGAGACGCCTGGAGAAGCCAGCGTCCGGGGTCGGAACGGGCACAGCGCAGCCTGCCCGAGGGGCGTGGAGGGGGCGCTAACAGAGCTGCCCCCACCGCGGCCTCGGCTCCTTGCTGCCAGCACTTCCCAGAGCCAAGCACGTGTGCGCGGCCCATGGCAGAGCTCCCGAGTGTCCCCGCTCCGAGCCACCGTCACCAGACCCGCCTCCCAGAGATGTGTGCGACCACCAGCTGTGCAGCCACTAACAGTCTCGACAGCGTGGCC